AATCCTAAACTCCTGCTTAATATCTGGTTTTGTCACATTCAAGAGGAAATTAATAGAGATAGGAAGTAGGTTGGAGTTGATAGTATCCTCTCCTTCCTGAAAATATTTTTGTATTGAAATGCTTCTTTGTTTTCTTTATTACTTTCAACATAATTATGCAAGTTCTCACAAGAGATTTTTTTAAAGATCAGTGTCCATTAAAATAACCTTACTGAACAAATAGAACTGTGTTCATCATCAGACACACATAACCCATATTCACGTTTTGCATTCATCATCAACAAATGAAATAAAAATGAAATAATTAGAAACATTACCGAGAACTTGAGCCCCTAAAACTTTGTTTAGAATGTAGGTATAAGATGAGAGAGTGAGATGGAAGGGAAATTAATGATAACGATAAATGGTCAACCATTTTCTGTCTAAGTGATCTTCCACTTTATTGCTCGTACATGTAGGCCTACATGTAGTATGTTTATTTGCTTGGCATGTAAATATATCTTTAATTTCAATCTAAACATACAAATGAGAGGGTTTTTTTCTTGGATGAAGATTATATCAGCTTGGTTGGCAGGTCACGTACAGTAAATGAAAGTAACACATGTGCAGACTTTTGTCTCTATAATATATATGTTTTTTCCTGAACAAAACTAAAGGAAATAGCACAAACAATTAACTGTAAAAATAAGCCCTATCAAACTCTGTATGGGTGGAAAAAAAACTAATTAGTTTCTGAAGACTCTCTGCAATAGTAAACAAGTCTGCATGATATGTTTTTTTTTTTTTTTACTTTTTATATCAGTTTCATATATGCTGTTGTTGCATCATATTTGTCTTAGTTCGGGGTCATATTACACACTGTAATTTGTGTATTGTTAATATTATATTTATTTGATTTTAGAGTTTTTCATTATCACATGAACATACATGTACATGTATATGTCTTTTGTACGATGGTTAGCATACATGTACTTTACTTTTTGTGATATTTCTATGAAGGAACTGTTCATCAACTTCATCCAAGACCCTCATGGGTCTCAAATACAATGCCTTTGTCCTTTTACGAGCTTACCATAGCCAAATTATACCTATCAAATAATTATTTAAATAAATAGGTAGATAAAGGAATTATTTGAACTTTGTTTTCACCAATCTTCAAGCACATGTCAGTTACGCAAATGAACCGTTTTTGTGGTTGAGAGTACATAAGTGTGGAGATTGATTCATATCTAAAACAAACACAGACCTCTGTGACAACACATTCTTGCAATGTGTTTGACAATGTTGTTGGTTTAGAACTAAGCAGTCACGCAGATTATACACAGAGCACAGTCAATAGTAACTGAAGCTTGCGAGAAATGAAGGTAGAAATTTATGCACGCACTTACAGTGTATAGTGTATTTTGGGGGTATTATTGTCATGTGTAACTTACTAATTTTCAACAGCCGATAGAAAACATGAAATGAAGGAATTGATGAGGTCTCCGAACTTTAATACCATTGAAAGTTCCTTATGAATAACATGCATTTTATGCTCTTCTTTATCAAAGAATGTACCATGCCTGCCGAGAGCTGAAAGAAAGAGTGTTCAATCCCATCATTTATCATGAGGTTAATGCCTTTCTGGCCCTCTGTCTTGGCAGATGATATTACATTACCTTTAATACAGAAATTATTTTCAGTTTTTGTCACTTCACAATTTAAAGCCTGTCTGTACTAGTTTGGCCAGGTGGGGGGGGGGGGGGGTTTACCTCCCTGCAAGGTCACTGACAGGTGGTTATCTCATCAAATCAGCTCTCAATTAACATTAAAAAAGAGGATCATGGGGGACCAACAGGTACCGATTAGGCATTGTTTGTTATAACGAGGGCGCAACTAGCTATAAGTAGTGCAGTGGGGCTTTAACATTTGAATAGAACATTAAATGAATAAAACATATTGTCTGCTTTGAGCGAGAAGGCCCATAAATCATTTTGCACGTAGTTAATAGACTTTGCGCCTTGCTACAGCCAAAAAATGTGTACAATGTAACAAATGTATAGCGTATCTTGCTCTGTGCCCAATGAATGCAATTACGGACCGTCTCATGTACCGATATGTAAATCTCATAGAATGTTTTAAAAGGAAATTGAAACTTACACTACAATAGTTCTTCTTTTACATGTACATATCCTTGTTACCCCTCCCCCCCCCCCCATCATTTGTATCACGTTCACATGAAATACACACACAGATTGGCGAGGTCATAAACCGCATCACAAGACAGACTGGAACTCGAATTATGGAGCCAGGGCCCTCTCCACCCAAGTACCTGAATTCTTTAAGTCCCTCATCGGATTTCAAGCTCGTGTCTAACCGAGCAAACACGTAGCATGTTTCCTGTTTGGGGTAATATTCTCATTATGGAAACGTCCTCCCCTCAGCAATGTAAACTCATTCAGAAAATTCCTAGATGGCTTTATGACTGGCTGGACGTTGTTCACCCTCTTAGTCAAATACAAGCTGTCTAATCACGCTCGAGTATATAAGGTTTACCAAGTGAAATATGTTTGGTGAGATTAGAGACCTTGCACCTCATTGACAGTAATATTTTCATTTAAAAAAAGTGTCAGCTTGCAAGGTTTGTCACTTTTATTGCGCGAGGCACACTGACCCTTCTTTGGGCAAGCCATAGACCCCATTCTCATTACCAGATAATCTTACACAAATTCTTGAAGAGATATTGCAATCTAGTGGGTGCTGGATCGTTCTACCCCTGAGGTGATAACACCTTTGATTTGAAGTTTCTGGTCTTACAGCTAGTAGTACTCATGAAAATGATTTTTTTTAACCTTAAACCCATTTGCAACCCTAACCCAAAACCTTTGACAAATTAAAGCCAGAAGCAAACGTCGCACCAGCGAATATCTGGGGGTGTTCTTAAAGCTGTTGATAATAATATGAAGGGCCAGAGAGGATGCCCAAAGTTTTTCCTGATGTTCTAACAAAGTGTGACTATATTTCCAATAACCACAATTAAATTATGATGATAACAATAATGATGATGAATAATATTGCTAAGCACTTAATACCATGTTTCTATTAAGCACATTACAAGGACAAATGATAACATCTAACCCCCCCCCCCCCCAAAAAAAAAAAAAAATGTTGTCTTTGGCTCCTAACAGACTAATATTCTCTGATATTAGGAGTTGATCTCAAGATTACCCTGTAAACAAGACTATCATCTTTGTTCCTCCTGGATAGCCTACCCTACCATTCTTTTATTTACGACCTTGACATGACCTTCATACTCCCCCATTGACTGTTACACTGTCAATGGTGAAAGTAGGTTAGGTGAAAGTGGGTCAGATGCAAGGAAGTCAAGGACCATTCAGCTAGGATGTGGCTTCTTGGGAGCAGGTATCTCTTTGGTATAATGTACTTCAAACCAGATTTACAGTGACCGGGAGAGGGGGGGGGGGTGGGGGTGTTTCATAAAGCTGTTCGTAAAGGTACGCATGACTTTACAAACGACTTGAATATGAAAAGCCAAATGGGATGCTCAACCATTTTTAACTGCATCAACTAAAGTTAAACTGTGCAGATGTAGGTTAACATTCTTAGTGTAACAATCATTTTTAATGCAAAGTATATTTTTTGCCATAATTTAAGTGTGGTTATTGGAAATATAGTCACACTTTGTTAGAACATCAGGAAAAACTTTGGGCATCCTCTCTGGCCCTTCTTTATTTCATTCATCATAAAAACATCATAACAAACATATAAAATACAGAACATAGCGTACAAGTTAAAGAGAAACATTTACAATACAGCACAACAACAAAAATATATATGAATGTGGAGACAGCTAGGAAAGCCAAATGCTTTATTGGTGCTGCCACCAAAACAGTAATAAAGTATAATACAGTATTATATTGTTGTTTGAGAAGGTGATTTAAAAAAAAAAAAAAAAAAAAAAATTATCACTATTGATATTAATTTCAACCAATTACAATGCTGCAGGTACATGTACCAGCATTATCTTGTTTGTGACCCAATTAATAGAAAATGTAAGAAGTATTAGGGACTTAATGGCGATATGGGAAAACAAAGGACCTTTGAGTAGATGCAAGGATATTTATTTGTGACTTTGTCAGAGTACCAGTCTTATTTATTCTCGTGTCCCAGTTTTTAGAAATGAGTTTAGCTGACGCCGGTCATGAAATTGTATTTCCCTGAAAAAGATGGTAAGAGAACTGAGTTGTCTTTAAATAGAATTATTTTGTGATTTAGAACTCTTGTAAGCTGCTGCCCACAAGACCACCAGCCCCTAAGACCGACCACCAGCAGTACTGACAATATCAGTTTTGCAGGATTTCTGAGAAATAATCACATGATTCATGAGACCGATGGCCCATAAGACCAACCATTTATAAGATGGATTTGTCAGTCTTGCAAGTGTTTTGAGTTTTATCAACTTTTCTGCGAGTGCTCAAGACCGACATTGCCAGTCTCTTGTCTCTCTTGCAGTCTGTCTGCTCAATGTCCTGACAATGTATATTAGATACATGAAGTTTCACAAATATTAATGAATTAAGAGTTTACAAAAGTTTTACAGACATTATTCACTGTATTTCAAAATGGGTAGTGGGAAATGCAGCACATGATGCATCATTTATAACCAGTCTCTCTCTCTCTATTTCATTCTCCATTTTTACTAACAAAATTAGTTCAGCAATTTTTTACTAAACTGCATGTTTTGTTCTCTATTCTACAGAGTTACCAGACCCTTTTGCCAAGATGGTGGTAGATCATTCGTAGATGGCTCTGGAGAGTGCCACTTTACGGGTATCTTGAAAACCAGAAAACTGTACATATTGAATTCCACTCACCAACAATGTATAGCTTATAAATTCTTTACATTGAAAATATAAAATCATTCATAAGAATATATACTAAACTGCCTTTTTTTCTTCTCTCTCTCTCTCTCTCTCTTTCTTTTGTTGTCTAATCTACAGGGTTGCCCGACCCGTTTGCCAAGGTAGTGGTTGATGGATCAGGACAGTGCCACTCGACAGACTACTGCAAAGGAACTCTTGATCCAAAATGGAACCAGCATTATGACTTGTGAGTATATTGGCATGGCCTTGACATTTTCTGCTGTTTATTTTAATGCATTTATTTTAATGAATTTTTTTAACAGCAAATGATTTCAGACACATAATTGGCAAAACAAGTTACGATATGGAGCTTTTTCAAGGTTTTCATTAAAATGTATCTTTAGAAATCGTCATCTCTTGGAAGCCTCTTAGACTTGAGGCGATGATTGTTTTGCCAAGATCATATTGGTCTATTGTCTGAGTAAACTGATGTAGTTGTTATTTTGTGGGTAAGGGGGGGGGGATGCAGATTTATGATCAAAACCATTATGCAACATTGGCTTACAAACTCGTCTTTCTTTAGTACTTATCGAGTGAAAGAAAAAATAGCATAGCTTGAATTGGTTTTGGTCTGTTGTTACATTAATATGCAGGTTGCACTGATTGAAAAATGCTTCTTGCTCAAAATGAAGATAAACGAATCTGAAGATATTACAAAGAATAGCGAGCAAAAATAAGACAAGCATCTCAACATCATAATTCTGAAAATTGAGAAAAGCTTGGTATATTATCGTTCCACATCATCTCACAGTTTGAGAGTTCAATATTGCCATACACATCCTCTCCCAGGCTAAAATCCATGGCAAGTCATCGTACTTCGTTGACTTCCCTTGACTCCTCGTTTGCGCGCCGTGCAAGGAGACATATACAGCTATATTTGGAATAGAAGATAATTTCATGTCTTGGCAAGAAAACATCATTTACATGGATGTCTGGCAGAGGAGGCAGGGCTCAGCAAACACTCTTCTCCGTTCTCTGCATCCATTAATTCCCGTCAATTTGTCTGCCTGATTCTCCTCTCTCTCCCCCAAAACAAGACTGGCGTGGTTTAAGGCATTTGACTGGCGGCTTGGAGTGCTAGCTAGCTGCCTAGCGTGCCAGTCAGTTGTCTATGCCTGTTATATCTATCATTCGGCAGCCTGACACTCACTTCTCGCTTTTAGACCCTGGTTCCATCTTGGAACAACGGCGCTTCCAGAATGCGGCGTTGATTCGCCAAGGCTCCTTGCCCAGTTCCAGACAAGCTTCTTTCAGCTAGCTGCTCTATGAAATCTTGGCATGAATCAGAATGGAGAACACTGGATCTGCCTAATCATGCAGGAGCTCTGTCTCCTACTGTTTTTCAGTGTGCTTTGTTCTTCAGGGTTGCTTCCTGACTGACGCTGGCTGAGAGAAGTTTGAATTCTAAGGAAGGAATTGACCCTTAAAGGGAAACACTGACACTCATGGGGGAAAGATGAATGATGTCTTAGTCTCTTCTACTTCTACTCCTTCTATTTCTATTAGTGATAATGATTATTTTTAAGCCATGCAATGAAAAGCCTTTTTGTGGGGGGTGGAGAACCAACAATATTTTGTACACTGACAAACGGCACTTATTGGTGAGGTTGTCTGAAGTAAAAAGTTTCTTTAAAAAAAGAAAGATCTGGAATGAATAATTTGCAATGGTTCCCAATAATTTCATGCTCAGTAAAAATAAGTCATCATGCCACAGTTGTTTAGAAAGTGAGACAGGGCAAACCAAAATCGACTAGCATAGACGATTATTTTTTCTATGTCGTGACTACAATATTACCAGTAAATCTTTTCATATTCTGTATGATTAAAGTCGCTTTTGATGATTTTTTGTTAGCAATGCCTTTAATACCAAAATCCTCCTACAAAGTCATGCATTTCTTAACTACTTCATCACACTTGTCTAAAACACTTTGAACAACTTCACACCCTCCTAGGAATATTGAATTCTAGATAGGAGGAGACCGCGCTGTCTGTCTCCCTCGTCTGTTAAAATTTTAAATTGCAATTAAGGCACTGTGTTGTAAGACGTGCACACCCATGTTTTACAGCCTGAAATGCACTCTGTCTTGAACAGACTAATTGGCCAGCCAATTTAGGTGGTAAAGTACTTTTTTTTAAAGTAAACAGTTTGATAGGGCAGTGGTATAAAGCTGAACATGCTGCTGAATGTCTACTTGTTGTAAGGCCAAATAAAAAAAAAAACATGTTTAGCGTCCTGTTTTTTGGAAAAATAGGAAAGAGGAGGCCCCCTTTTTTTTTTTTTTTTTTTTTTAAATCAGAAATAGATCCATTTTAGCAGTGTTTTAGCAGTGTTTTTTTTCTTTAAAAAAAAAAAAATCAAAAATTTCAACAAAAAAATTTCAACAAAAAATTCACAAAAAAAAAAAAAAATAGGAGGCGGCCCCCAAAAAGGAAGCGGGCAGGGACGCTTAACATGTATATTTTTTTAAATGGCCTAATACTGAGTATTTTCTTGTTTTATACTCCTGACATTTGAATAATTCCAGGATTAAAATCAATGAAGGTCCCTAGCAACTCGTTGATAACCTTCTGTGAATAATTCAGCCGTCTCATATAGGTTGGAATCATTGAATACATTGAAATGATTGTGAGATGTATTTCAGAATTCAATCATGAATGTTTGTATGGAAAAGGCAATCCAGCCTTGGAAGTAAATTGTTTGAGCGAAAGCAGACAAATAAAAGAAACAGATCTTGTTAAGCCAAGTAGAATTAAGTCTCAGTTTCTTGTCTCTGCCTTTTTCCTTTTCAACACACCCACTTTTTATTATTTTCTTCTATTAAAGACCACATGCGAATTGAATAATGAAATGGATGAATTATATATCGGGAAAGCTTATGAGCCATGGTTTACAATAATATCAATTATATGCCATTTTAGTGTCTGTCGGAGGAGTATCAGCTCTCTGAAAACACAAAATCTAAAGCTTTGAAAATCAGAAGTTGTCGACCTCAAAACTTGCTATCGACTTGATGACATAATCTTATGTGGAGTACACATTTTCACAATGACTTTGCATTAATTAATCTAGCACTGCTCATTGCCTCAGCTACACTGTATATAGTGATCCGATCAGGTCTACGTGTTATTTCGTCACTGTAACTTACGCAAATTTGACCCCTGTTGAACCGTAATTTGGAAGGGTGCAGAAAATGAGGTTTTGATTTGCTTTTTTGCTATAATGACAGGATAAATACTTTTTATTCCTTTATATTTGTATTCTACATTCATTCAGTTTTCCATTTATATCAAGTTGTATTTTCATCGGATAGGGTCTTTAAGTATATTCTGGTGTAAGTTTAAAGCTCACTGCTCGCTATATGTTCCTCCTGAGATCTGATTTTTGAAGAAATGACAATTATATTATATACGTAAATCTAAACAAGCATCATCCTCCTGATTCACATGTAGGTTATAAATAATAAGAATACCAGAATTTGATTACATTTATCTCTTCTAGTCAGAAGAAAAGCCGCATAATAATAATAATGATAAAAACGGTGCTTATAAAGTGCTTACCACCGACGTCTCTAAGAGCATGGGCTGAATCATAGACAATCCCACAACTGGTGTGACGTCACTACGATTGTGAGCCGATTAGCTTTTTTCTTCCCCAATGAAGCTTGATATTCCTTGAAATTGAGATATTATTAACCATATGACTATTCAGATCCTCGGTCTTTAAGATTTTACATGTTTGAATGTTCATATCAAATGCTAATTAATGCGAATTCTTCCCTAATTCTATTACAGTCTGATCTTACAGTGTGCGCTGGGCTTTTAAGATATCCCTGTCGTTGTATGTACCTGGGGATTTATTATTGGTTTTTTCATTTCTATATTTACATTTTTCAAATTTTCCTATGTTTTGCAGACGTGGAGCCAATGCAGTTATGCCTTTGATTTTCTGTCTTTCTCTGTTGAATAATATAAATAATTAAATACTCAATTTCCAATTTATACTATGACACTACTCAATGGCCCGAATTCACAAAGCAAGGTTTGAGCTCAAACCTCCTTTTGTTTTGCCAAACCTCCTTTTGTTCTTTACAAATCAGGTTTGTAAAAAACGTGTAAAACGCGTCATATGACGTACGAAAACCAAGGTTTGTCGACAAACCTCCTTCGGAATTCAGGCCTAAGAGTTTACAATTTAAGACTATGAATTCAAGTTGTTAAGCTCTCCATTAATGTTCCGTAAATCATTAGCACTAGCAGCAGGAGGACAATTAAAGTCCAGTCAGACAGAAATAGAATGAGAGCATCAATTTTATAAGAAGACAATGCAAAACAAGTTTTGTGAAATGAGATCCATGTAGAAAAGCAGAACCTGGTAAAAGAAAGAAAAACTAAACACTGTTCTCAGTAGACAACATTATTTGATAATTCTTTAATTATCTCCATTGACCTTGTTGTGAGAGTTACCGTAAATCTCCGTGTATAAGGCGCACTCTTTTGCCGCCAAAAAAATTGAAAGTTTTTTTTTTTTTTTTTTAAGTTTCGATTTATGCCCGGCGCTATGCCTGGCATTGTCTCCCAGCTAAGTTATCTGTGTGTTGACTCACCATTCGGAAACTACAACAACACTCAAATTTGTCTGTCATCTTGGTTTGAAAGTAATCTTTCTAATAGATCTCAATATGTGGTTTATAATAATAATTCATGGTGTACCACAAGGTTCTATCCTCGGTACTCAACTGTTTTTAATTTACATTAATGATCTTACACATTATTCTAGAAACGACATTGTTACTATTATTTGTGACAAGTTCACAAGCACAAATCGGCGCCTTCAACTGCACCTTGATGTTAAATGAAAGTCCTTCCCTGCGTGGGTTTTCGGCAAAATATCAAAACATTATTTTTTGTGCCCCCAAAATAGGGGTGCGCCTTATACACGGAGGTTTACAGTATATAGAATTGTTGATAACCATACATTTTCATTAACCTTCTCAAAAAGGGACAATTGAAGAAAAAAATTACAATTTAAAAAGGAACTTCTGCAATGGTTTGGTTGCCAAAGTAGCTTTCTCCAGGGCTTCAGATCTCAGCATGATCACAAAACACTGTGACAAGCTAGAGGCAAAAATTTGAAAAATTGGAGAGAAAAAAAAATCCAAACTTTTGATAGTTTCCGAATGAGTGGCG